GTCATCTAGTGCTGCTGTAACAGAAATACCACAAGCGGATGGCTTTAACAAAGAGAAATTTATTCTCTCACAGTCCAGTAGGCTACAAGTCCAAATTCAAGGCATCAGCTCCAGAGGAAGGCTTTCTCTCTCTGTCGGCTCTGGAGGAAGGTCCTTGTCATCAATCTTCCCTCGGTCTGGGACCATCTCAGCGCGGGAACCTCAGGTCCAAAGGATGCGCTCTGCTCCTGGCACTGCTTTCTTGGTGGTATGAGGTTCCCATGTGTCTCTGCTTGCTTCTCTCTTTCATATCTCAAAAGCGATTGGCTTAAGACATTATCCAGTTTTATATACCTCATCAGTATAACTGTCGCTAATTCATCTTATTAGATCATAGTGATTGAATTTACAACACATAAGGAAATCACATCAGATTACAAAATGGTACACAATTATACAATACTGGGAATCATGACCCAGCCAAGTTGACAGATATTTTGGGGGGACACAATTCAATCCATGACAGCCACGGAACCCTTAAGTCCGTCAGCACTGCTGTACGAGTGTCCCAGAGTGCAGTAAAAACTCACCACAAACAGGGAAGCTTCAAACAACAGAAGTCTGAAATCAGAGCATCAGCAGGGCCATGCTGTCTCTGCAGGCTCTAGGGGAGGATCCTTCCTTGTCTCTTCCAGCTTGTGGTGGTTGCCAGCAATCCGTGGGGTTCCTTGGCTTGTAGTTCCATCCAGTCTCTGTCTCCGTCTTCACACGGCCATCTTCCCCGTGCGTCTGTGTCCCTGTGTCCAAATCCCCCCTCTATTCTCTTGTAAAGACACCAGTCGCTGGACTTTAGGAACCCAGAGAATCACCCTGAATCCAGGATCAGTTCATTTCAGGATCCTTAATCATATCTGCAAAGACCCTATTTCAGATAAGGACACATTCTCAGGTTCTGAGTGGACATGAATTTTTGAGGGACACTAACCCACAAGGAGCCCTGGTGGCACAATGGTGAAGCGCTCATCTGCTAACTGAAAGGTCGGTGGCTCGAACCCACCCAGCAGCTCTGTGAGAGAAAATACCCGGTGATCTGCTCCCGTAAAGATTACAGCCTAAAAAAAAACCCTATGGGGCAGTTCTATTGTCATGTAGGGTCACTAAGAGTAGGAATCGACTTGAAGGCACATAACCACAATTTAACCAGCTGTGATCTGCACTCTGGCCCTCTAAAATGCACGCTCTTCCCGCATGCAAAATACATTCACCCATCTCAACATTCCCCAACTGTTAGCCCATTCCATCACCAACCTAAGTACAAAACCTTATCTAAACATCAACTCAGAAAGTCCCCAAATCTCATCATCTAAATCAGTTATGGATGAGACTCTGAGTATAGTCCTCCCTGGGGCAGAATTCCTCTCTGTCCACAGACCTGTGAAACTAGAAAACAAGTTATCTGCTTCCAAGACGCAAAGGTGGTGCAGGCACAGGAGAGACGTGCCCACGCCGCAAGGGAGAAAATGGAAGGAATAAAGGGGTCACTGGTCCAAAGCACAGGAGCCCTGGTGGCGCAGTGGTTAAGTGCTCGGTTGCTAACTGAAAGGTCAGTGGTTCGAACCCACAGCTGCTCCACGGGAGAAAGATGTGGTGGTCTGCTTTTGTAAAGATTACAGCCTTGGAAACCCTATGGGGCACTTCTACTTTGTCCTGTGGGGTTGCTAGGAGTCGGAATTGCCTTGATGGCAATAGGTTTTTGTTTTGTTTTCTGGTTCAAAGCAAGTCTGAAACCCGGCAGGGCAAGTTCTAGGGGGTCTCAAGGCCTGAGAGCAAGTCTCTGTGGCTCCATGCTCTGCCCATTGTGCCCTCTGAGCTGCCCCCCTGGCAGGCCTCCTCTTTCTTGAAGGATTACATGTTTGCAGCCAAGGAGAAAGCTGGAGGTCCAACAGCCTTCCTGTACTTCATCCCATTTGTGTCCCTCTCAGTTCAGGCTGGCAGAGTTTCTGCTGCCATAATGTCCTCAAAAACCTGTCGGTCTCCTGTGTAATTTGTGGGGGCCCAAGCCATCAGGTGAGAGGGTGCTCCACAGATCGCTCCTGAAGGAAAAGATCTACCCATTACCCATTGCAAAGCGACTTCCACCTTTTCAGGTATTTGTTACAGCAGCACCCCACTCCCCAGTAACAACTGACCATGAACTTGGTAGCTTAAAAACAACAGAAATTTATTCTCGCACAGTACTACAGGTGAAACATCCAAAATCAAGGTGTCTGCAGGGCCACTCTCTCTCTGAAGGCTCTAGGGGAGAATCCTTCCTTGCTTCTTCCTAGCTTCTGGTCACACCTGGCAATCCTGGCATTCCTTGGCTTGTAGCTGCATCTCTCCAATCTCTGCCTCTGTCTTCACATGGCCGTCTTCCCTGTATGTCTGTGTCTGTGTCCAAATCTCCCCCTTCTTTCTCTCATAAAGACAGCAGTCATTGGATTTAAATGCAGGATGATTTCATCTCGAGATGCTTCACTAATCACATCTGCAAAGACCCTATTTGCAAATAAGGTCACATTCTGAAGTTCCTGATACACATTAATTTGGGAGGAATACCATTCATAACCCACTACAATTGCTGAGGGCCAAGTTGGGAGGGGTGGAAGATGTGGCTAGAGAACTGAGCAGGGGTCAGGTTATAAAGGGCCTCAGACACCATGCTAAAAAGCATACTTCTCACACAGCAGTTCAAGGGAAACAACTGAGGGGTTTTAATCCAAGCGTACCTCAGTGTTGCTTGAAGGAGAAAGTGCACGTTTTGCAAACCATAAAACATTAGGCACACATAAGAGAATACTTGTAAAGCATCAAAAATAGTGCCTGGCAAACAGTACACGCTTAAGGAATGTCAGCCATTATTATCATAAGAAATTACGAAGGGTTGTGCTATATAAAAGATCCCATCACAGTTTAGGAGCTGCCTTTGTATTTTGTAGTGGATGTGTTCTTCCTTCCTTGAGTTTCTCTGTGCTGAGGTCTGCACTCAAAAAAAGAAAAACAATCACGGATGCCATCTGACAGAGTTGGCAAGGCCACAAGAATCTGGCTGGGATCTCTGCTCGCACCACACTATGTAGCTGAAGACTAAACAAGTGGCTAGGGGTAACCAGGGGAAGGTCATCTACTGACAGGAACAAAGGCATACCTTCGCAACTCATCCTTCAGGGAACTGAGCTCCAGCCTGCCTCCTGAAACCCGGCACTGCCAGAGACAAGGGCCACAGGAGGGAAGAGGAACAGAGCAGCTGAGCAGGCCTCTCTCTGGGACCCAGTCTCTCCTCTCTGTCCCGTCCTCTTCAGGGACAGCCATTAACAGTTCTCCCATATCCACTTGAACTTTAACTTAGGAGCTGCTCTCGAAAGTGCCTAAGACACAGCACAGCATCAAATCAAAGGCAAGAAGAGAGCCTGTCTTCGCAGGATCTCACAGAAGAAAGCTGCGGGCAAATTACCACGAGCCAGCCATCCCAAGGTGTATTCACTGTTAAATGTACACAGCAGCTCAGTCATTCTTTCAGTTCAGTTGGCTAAGAATTAGTTATTAGAGTTAGTGTGGGTGTTCAGACTGTTGTTATTGTTGTCAAGTACCGCTGAGTCACCTCCAACTCACAGTGACCCTAAGCATAACAGAATGAAACACTGCCCGGTCCCATGCCATCCTCACAATTGTTGCTGTGTTTGAGCCCATTGTTGTAGCCACTATGTCAATCCATCTCTTTGAGGGTCTCCCTCTTTAGACTGAGGGGGGACCAAGACCCCAAAACCAACCTGAAGAAGCCTTCCATGTGGCTCCTTCCTCAAACCCTTTCCCTGAACTCTTCTAGAGCATTTGTCCCCGTCACCACGAGGACCTCCTAGTGTCCACCATTGCAGAATTTTCACTTTATCCAGGACATGCCACTGGTTTTGATGAAAGCTCTTACTGTTCTTCCAGTGAGCACAATCCCGTGGAATAAAGCAAGTCTCCGGCCACCTCCGGCGATTCCTTACATTCCAGTCATTGCGTCTGAGTGACTCAGAACATCAGTCCTGCCAACTCGAAGCCCACTCTGAAAATCAAGCTTTTCTGACTGGATACAGTGAATCCCAAAGTTCACAATTCCATCACTCAAACAACCGTGTTCATTACGCAACGTGAGGGTACAAACCGCTTCGCTGTCCCTACGAATGACTCTACTCTGGAGCTTACTTTAATATCACAGTTCTTCAGACTTTCAGGACAGAACAAACTGTTCGGCATTCTTGACGGTGGCTGGTCTCTAACCTCTTCGCCCACGGCTGATTTTATCCTAGGTATTTTCCATGCACGTCTCCTCCTTCCCTAGGGCCCTGGCCGGGGCTCCATGCCACGCCACCAACACCAATCAACAAGGACTCTGGAGCTGTACCACTTGCAGGGTGTACCCAGCAAACTCTGGGCACTCAATTTTTTTATTTTTTTAATATTTTTTATTTACTGCCTGCTGGTGACACAAGGTCGGAGTTGTTTTAAGGCCAGAAAGTGGGAACAGGGAACTCATAGAGAGCCTCTAACCCTTCTCCAGCCCTCTTCCCCGCTCCGACCACAGAGACCAGGCCACTCCAGCGGGTCAGAAGCTACCGCCCCCCCAGCAGAAACGCCCTCCCCGGCGAGCACAGCCACCCCCGGGCCAGTTTCCTGACCCCACCAAACTCTTCTCAGCACGACGTGGCTCAGCTCCTTCCAGCTTTTCCAGGGAGCCCAGGAGTTTGGCAGAAGAGAGAGAGCCTGCCCGGCCCAGAAAAGCCTGCCGGCAGCTCCGCCTCCCCCCTCAAACCTCGCTGCTACCTGCAGCGCTGTCACCCCCAGACCCCACGCCCGAGCCCTGGTTCCCCCAAACTGTCTGCTCAATTTAGGTTACCCCTTCCCAGGCCCCGAACCCACCCGCAGCCCCGCAGACCGACAGGTCCACTTGTGACCTCTGACCCCTGACCCGACCCTACTCTCCCCGTCACACCCACCTGCCCGGGACCTTGCTGTTGCTGCGCTTCCAGAACTGCTTCCTGGCCCCGTCGCTGGCCATAGCTCCTCCTCATCCCTCAGGCCCGCGGCCCGACACCGGAGCGTGGCCGGCCCGCCCACAGTGGACCTCTCCTGTCCCTCGGGCGGCCCTTAAGCGGTCCCGGGACTCCAGACCACAGAGCCCAGAGGCTCTTCCGCCTCTCTCCGGAAGTTGTCACACGACGCGACCGGAAGTCCCGCCTCGGTACCAGGTGTCGTCTGACGCGTGGCGCGGGACGACTGACGGCATTAAAGGGCGACGGTTGCGCGCAGGTCCAGCGCGCAGCGGAGAAGGGTGAGGCGGCTGAGGTGTTCGGGGCTGGTGGCGGCCGCTCTGAAACCTGTGTCCCCGCGCGCACCGCTCGCAGTCCCACCTGCGCTCGCCGCGCCCGACCCGACGCGGGACCGGGACCCAGGCCCCCTCGGCAGGCAGCGGCCACGGACCCCTGAGCTGACCCACGCGAGCCTCGCGCTCAGCATTTCTCGGAGTTGAGGACTGTGTCGGACTCCGGTGTCTTTTATTGACTTTCTAGGAGCCGGCCCTGGGACTGAAAGAAGCAGGACACCGTTACTGACCTAAAGGAGACGACTCGGAAACCAGAAGGCGTCCTCTGCGGCAGGGACGACGCGTCCGTGTTGTTCAAGGCTTTATTGCCGTGGTCACTTAGTAAAACCAAAAAAAACAAACCCACTGCCGTCATCCTATTCCGACTCATAACGACCTTGTTGGACAGACAACTGCCCCATAGGGGTCTGGGGGTGACAGCGCTGCACGTAGCAGCGAGGTTTGAGGGGGGAGGCGGAGCTGCCGTCAGGCTTTTCTGGGCCGGGCAGGCTCTCTCTTCTGCCAAGGCTGTAATTTTGACGGCAGCAGACTGCCATATCTTTCTCTTGTGGAGCGGCTGGTGGGTTCCAGCCACACGACCTTTCCATTAGCAGCTGAAGGCTTTAACCATTGCGCACCAGGGCTCCTCGGAATTTCGTAGGAGTCAATAAACACTAAATTGATGAAGTACTTACAATGCAGTGAGATAAGGACAGCTACCAAATGACATGGAGCATATCTGAGGGGATAGAGGGAGAATTGAGGATTAAACCAGGCTCCAATTTAGGGACAGTTGAGCACAGAGGTAGGGAGAAATTCCCCCGCTCTGGTCTCTACAAGCGGTCCCTGGGTGGCACAAATGATTTGCGCTCCAATCCTAACCTAAAGGTGGGTGGCTCCAGCCCACTTAGCAGTGACACAGAAGAAAGGCCTGGTAATCTGCACAGCAAGCCTGTATACAACAGAACAAAGCACTCCCCGGTCCTTTGCCATCCTCACAATCGTTGCTATGTTGGAGCCCATTGTTGCAGCCACTGTGTCAATCCATCTTGTTGAGGGTCTTCCTCTTTTTCACTGACCATCTACCAAGCATGATGTCCTCCAGGGACTGGTCCCTTCTGATAATATGTCCGAAGTACAGGAGACGAAGTCTTGCCATCCTTGCTTCTAAGAAGCATTCTGGTTGTATTTCTTCCAAGAAAGATTTATTCATTCTTCTTGCAATCCATAGTACATTCAATATTCTTCTCCAACACCATAATTCAAAGGCATCCATCCTTCAGTCTTCCTGTTTCATTGTCCAGCTTTCACATGCATGTGAGGCAACTGAAAATACCTGGGCTTGAGTGAGGCGCACCTTAGTTCTCAAAGTAACATCTTCGCTTTTTAACACTTTAAAGAGGTCTTTTGCAGGAGACTTGCAATATGTCATTTGATTTCCTAACTGCTGCTTCCATGGGCATTGATTGTGGATCCAAGTAAAATGAAATCCTGGGCACTTCAGTATTGATTTTCTCTGTTTATCATGATGTTGCTTATTGGTTCAGTTTGAGGATTTTTGTTTTCTTTATGTTAAGGTGTAATCCATACTGAAGGCTGGGGTCTTTGATCATCATCAGTAAGTGCGAAAGTCCTGTTCACTTTCAGAAAGCAGGGTTGTGTCATCTGCATAACACAGGTTGTTAATGAGTCTTCCTCCGATTCTGATGCCCTGTTCTTCATATAGTCCAGCTTTTCAGATTATTTGCTCAGCATACAGATTGAATAGGTATGATAAAAGGATGCAACCAATAATAAAGTAACAAAGATTACAGCCGAGAAAACCCTAGGGAGCAGTTCTACTCTGTAACACATGGGGTTGCCATGAGTTGGAATTGACTCAATGGCAACGGGTTTTATTTTGTGGTGCTCTGCAATATGGTAGCTATAGGCCAATTGTGGTTACTGCATGCTTGAAACGTGACTAGTCTGTATTAAGATGTGCAAAAACCAAACCCGTTGCCACTGAGTCGATTCTGACTCATAGCGACTCTATAGGACAGACTAGAACTGCCCCATAGGGTTTTCAAGGAGCGGCTGGTGGATTCGAACTGCCGACCTTTTGGTTAGCAGCCATAGCTCTTAACCACTGCTCGTCTGCCAGTTTGTCGTACTGTGGGGGCTTGCATGTTGCTGTGATGCTGTAAGCTATGCCACAGGTGTTCAAATACCAGCAGGGTCACCCATGGCGGGCGGGTTTCAGCTCAGCTTCCAGAGTAAGGCAGACCAGGAAGAAGGACCCGGCAGTCTACTTCTGAAAGCAATTAGCCAGTGAAAGCCTTGTGAATAGCAGCAGAACATTGATACAGTGCCAGAAGATGAGCCCCTCAGGTTGGAAGGCACTCCGAAGACAACTGGGGAAGAGAGCTGCCTCCTCAAAGTAAAGTCCACCTTAATGATGTGGGTGGAGTCAAGCTTTCAGGACCTTCATTTAAGGATATGGCGCAACCCAAAATGAGAAGAAACATCTGCAAACTGCACCACTAGGGCTCCTTGAGATGTGCTGTCCATGTAAAATACAGGATTTTCAAAGACTTAGTATGAAAAACAGAATAAAGGTACCTCAATGATTTTTATACTGATTACATGTTGAAATAATATTTTGGATATATAGGGGCCAATAAAATGTGTTATTAAAATAAATTTCACGGTTTTTTTTTTTTTTTTACTTTTAATGTGTCTACCAGACAACTTGAAGTTACATATGTGATCGAGATTGTATTTTTATTGGACAGCACTTCCCTGGACCAAAGACCGAGGGGTCGTGGATAGGCATTTCAGATCGGAGTTTCAATATAACTTTTGGGAGGTCCTTGAAATATACTGCCAGTTCTCCTTTAAAACAAAAGTTTGATTGTAATCTCTGATTAAGTTTTTTCAGTGCCTCTTTTTACTGATGATAAGTAGCATTGATTTAGTAGTTGCTATGTGCAAGGTATTAAATGAACCCAGGTGGCACAGTGGTTAAGTGCTCAGCTGCCAACCAAAAGGTCAGCAGTTCAAACTCACCGGTAACCATTACAGCCTTGGCAAATTTATGGGACAGTTGTACTCTGTCCTATAGGGTCGCTATGAGTCAGAATCAACTCGACCGCAATGGGTTTAGTTTGTTTTTTGTTTGTTTTTTATGTGTAAGGTATTGTTCTCGGCACTTTATATGCATTGTCTCAATCACACGCCTCAGTAAAGACTCTACCCACTTGTCACAGGGCAGAATTAGTGACTCAGTTCTCAAAACACCAAGTTTTATATCCGGTCTCATAAGAGCAAGGCCTTCCACAGCTTGTACATGGTCTGCAACGTTTATCCCACTGCACGCTGGGACCTGTGTGGTGTCTACTGCACATCCACAGCAACAGCCTCAGCACCTGTCACAATAAGGGCTCGGTAAATGCTCGTCAGTGACGACAACCATGGGGACCTCTTCAAGGATCCCCCTAAGTCACAGCCGTAGAAACTCCGAGAATCTCCTCCGTGGGGTGATCTCAATGCATCCTCGGTGATCCCCCCTGACAACTCAGTAGACCTTAGGGCTCTATCTTAGTCATCTAGTGCTGCTCTAACAGAAATACCACAAGTGGGTGGCTTTAACAAAGAAATTTTTTCTCTCACAGTCTAGGAGGCTAGAAGTCTGAATTCAGAGTGCCAGCTCCAGGGGAAGGTTTTCTCTGTTGGCTCTGGAGGAAAGTCCTTGTCATCAATCTTCCCCGGTCGAGCTCTCAGCCCAGGAACCCTGGGTCCACAGGACACACCATTCTCCTGGCTCTTGTTTCTTGGTGTTATGAGGTCCCATGTCTCTCTGCTCACTTCTCTCTTCTATATCTCAAGTGATTGGCTTAAGACATAACCTAATCTTTTAAATTCAGTGCTGCCTCCTAACACAATTGCCTCTAATCCTGCCTCATTAACATCATAGAAGTAGGATTTACAACACCAAGGAAAATCACGGCAGATGACAAAATGGTGGAAAATCACACAACACTGGGAATCGTAGCCTAGCAAAGTTGACACATATTTTAAGCGGACACGATTCAATCCATGACAGGCTCCTTTCCTGCAAAGCCTTAGAAATGCCCCTGGATCCTGTCCTTACATACCCGAGGGAATCTCACAGGATCTCCTGATATAGCCTCACTGGATCCTTAGGGACCCTTCCTGACACCCTCCAGGATTCTCCAGGGACCCTCTCCTAGTGGAGCTCAGGAGGCCCCAGGGACCGTCTCCCAGCGGCCTGAGGGACACCCTGCAGACAGCATTGGAGAGGAGGACTCTCCCCAGCTCAGTCTGGCATATTGCAAGAAGCAGCAGAAGGTGACAACAGGAATCAGATGGTGGGGCAGAAAGGGACAAAAGCTGTGAGAGAATGTACAAAGGAAAAACTGACAACTTTCAGGGCCTGGTTGGATGTGGTTAGAGCACCTCAGCTGTGGCTGCTCCCTGTAGATCACAGTATACTCCCTACCTACCGTCCTAGCAGAAATAAGAGGGATGGGACCAAGATGGACAGGACCACCAACTCAGTGGTACCACCGTTAAAAACTCAAAGCAAGGAGTGAGCCTGTCCAGAGCACGAGTTTCTGACTGGTTCTGGATGCAGTGGTTTGAGGCCACAAGTGCCCAGTCTCAGACAAGTGCTAGGCTGGAGGTGTCAGTCCACACATGAGGAGATGGGGTTGGGTGGGGAGAGTGGCCAGGGCGAAGTCGGAGAAGAGCTGGTGGTCAGGAACAGGTCCGTGTCATGAGCAACATCATCACAGAGAGAAAGCAAAGATAGACACTGTGTCCAGAAATGAGGGGGTCATGGTATAGATGAGGTGAGACAGTCTGCACCCCCCCACCAAGGACACAACACTGATCACAGTCCTCACCAAGGCCAGAGGCAACCACCCTCCTGAGTGCTTCTGTGTTCACATTCACCTGGGCTTTTCCAGG